TTGGTGCAGCAGAAATCCTCAGGTGGGGCCCCAGATCCAACCTGGGGCATGAGGGAGGGCTTCCTGGACAAGGTGATACTGTGCTGAGTCTCAAGGAGGAACAAGAATCAGAAGGAAACCCAAAGCCAAAAGGCAAGGGACAGGACAAGAGGGTGGATGGATGAAGGGCCAGCGGTGGAAGCCAAGGAAAGAATGCTGGAACCCATCCTTCATGTCCGGGGCAATGGGTCCCCAGAGGAATGCATTGTAATGAGGGCAGAGGGGACCCAGGCTCCTGGAGAGGTGTCAGGATGGGAGGGAGCTGATGAGAGTGTGCAGCAGAGACGCTGCCTCCTGTCACGCTGGGCAGTGCCAACCGGACCCAGATCTGGGCCCCGTGGTGCGACGTCACCTCCTGCAAGACACTTCTTCACTGGTACCGTGGGAGGCATGCAAGGGCTTTGGCAGGGGTTAAATGGATGAATGCACACACAGGGCCTGGCACACGGGAAGTGATTGATAAATAGGAATCATCACTATTGATAAATAGTAGCTATTATCATTATTTATCAAACCGGTGCACGGGGTTTCTCTTTTGAAAAGGCTGAACAACACTGCCCTCAGGAGCTATTAAAAGGGCTTTAAGGAGGACACTCGTGGGCTCTGATTTGCAATTTAGAAAGATCACTGGGCTGCTGGTGGAAGATGGATGAGAGGAGCGGAAGCCAGAGTCAGGCAGAGAGAAGGCGACATCCATGAAGCAGGTGAGAGGTGATGGTGGCGAGGGATGGAGGTAGACTCACGTGCAGCGCTGGTGGAGAAAGCCAGGCCAGCACCCATTTTCAAGGGAATGATGAAGTTGGTGGGGGGCGGGGTACATGGCCACCCAAGGCTGGCCCTCTCCTCTCAAAGACAGTCTGGTGAAGCCCAGCGGCCCCTGAGAAGACGGTGGTGACCACCCTGGTGCACAGCAGCCCTGTGCTCTCACATCCTAAGGCATCTCTTTGGAGAGGCAGCTGTCCATCACTGGTTGTTAATTCTGCCCCGACGGGCTGCCGTCTGTCACCAGGCCTCTGGTGGCATGTTTTAGGGTCTCACAAAGCACTGGGAACCCTTCAGGGGAAAGCCCATTCAGGGTCACCCCTCGGGGCTGTCTCCTCCCAGCGTGATTCATGGAACACCATCACCCCATCCAGAGAAACCAAGGGCATGACATCGTTATGAAAACCCCCATGTTCATTTCTGGTAATGACATCATGATCAGTGTCGCCTCCTCAGGAGGGCACCTTAATCCAGGGTGACACACCCTCCCCAGCACTGACATTTTCAATGTGGCTGTGTTTTCCCACTGTACCTGTAATCACCCTGTCCTTTCCTTTCTCGGTCTGCCCCACACTCTGCACGGAGCCACTCTCTACACCGCCGAGGCCACTTCCCTGTCCCCCCAACCGGTCTTCGTACTGAAAATTAATAGCTGTTCTTTCACAATTAGTGTCTCTCTTCTGGCACCTCTCACGGCCTTCTCTCAGTGCCGCTCACAAAACACACAGGTACACTCCCTGAATTCAAGTCCAAGTTCATAAAGGTACGATGCACGGCCAAAGCCATTGGTGACAGCAAAACAAGGTCCCTCAAGCCCCGTCGCTCGAGGCTCAGTAACAGATGAGAGCACAGAATATCTTCGGGGGAGAGTATTTACAAAACTACTTTAAAGGAATTGCCTGTCGTTAATCACAAGTTCTTAAAAATCAGTCTTCTCTTATTTGTTCCAATCTAGCTAAATGGCCCTGGAAATACAGTCTGTGGTTTGCTCGGCAAATGCAAGCGGAAAAGCATAATGTTCTCATCCCAATTTCCAACTCGTACTTTGTGTTATGGATTTTTTTTTTTTTTTGCTGCTAGCATTTCTCCAGTCCACTAAATATTCCAGACGTATGAGACTCTTCATTGGATTCATTCTAATAACTTTTTTCATCAATATGACTTTTTGAGAATGCAGTGGTATAGCAAATTAAATATTATTTATGACTTTAATTTGTGTCCTATTTAGATTTTACACTCACAGGGCCAACTTGGCTATCATCATTATCATATTGTTTTAGACTCCTCCTAAAATTAAAATCCACTCTCGTCTTTAAATGTTTTATTGTGCTTGTCGTTCTTGTTTTGTGCCGCACCGAACATGATTAATTCTGTTGGCCAAGTGCATATGCTCTGCCTGGCCACCAATCCATTATCTTCATCACGGCTGCCTGCGAATGAGCACTTTATTATTATTTGTTTCATCTTTTCAATTACCAGATGTGTTTTCCCATTCTCGGGGGTTCTGAACTGTCCCAACGCAAATCTTTGCAGTGACTTTGAGACGCCCGTGTGATCCGGCCGCATCCTGGGCCTCCCTGCCCCTCGCTGACCACTCAGGCTTCCCGAACTTTCTGTCGGTTTCTAGAACCCTCAGAGCCACCCACCCCCGAGCCTCTGGGCAGCCCCCCATGCCTTTCCCTCTCTGGCTGCGTTGCTCTTCCCTCACTTTCCTCCATGGCCCCTTCCAGTCCCCCATTTCCTGTTTCCCCTTCTGGAAAATGGGCTTCTATAAGTCCCACCAAGAAGAAGCCGTTCCCTCTCGCTTTTTGTACAGAGGATGGCGGTTAAACACGCAGAGATAACTGAGGGCTAACATTCGTAAACCGCCCACACAAACCACCGCACTCCACGCCAACCAAACACGAGTGTACCCTGTGTCACAACGACTCCACGGAGGGTGGGCAGAGGGTGCGGCAGTGGGAAGAGCGAGACTGCGAGTCAGAGCTCTCTCGGTCCCCAGCTCACCTGCACCTTAGGAGCTCCCGGGCACCACGCCACGCGCGCCACACCACGCACGCATTCTCCCGAGGAGATGGCAGTGCTTCTCCCCGGCTCAGTGGTTCCCCCACAGAAACAGCCCGGCTGACCAGTAAGCGATGCCTTCAATGGGAGGAAATGCGGCAGCGACTATTAATACACATTTTTTACTCTGTACTTTCCGTGGGCCCGGTATTGTGTGGCGTATTTAATGGGCACAACCGGATTTAATTCTTAAAACTACTCTATGAGATGCCTTCTAGCATTTCACCCATGAAGACACTAAAGCCCCAAGTGATGAAGTAGGTTATACCAAGCCACATCCTGGTGCGTCAGTCAGGGTTCTCCCGAGAAGCAGAGCCAATCAGATGACGGATAACAACATGGGCAAGCAGGTAGATGGATGAATAGAGTCAATGGTTCTATCTGCCCCCCCAAAGGAAATATATATATAGAGAGAGAGACTTATACATAATAAGAAATGTACTCTATGTATACGTAGGCCACATGTGTATTTTACATAGAGGTGTAACGTTTTCAGGACTAGAGAGCTGACTGCCAGAGGCCCTGCAGTGGTGGAAAGGGGCTGCCTCCGGGGCGCGGGGGTTCAGAGTGGGAAGCTGCGACAGCTGGTTTCCACCACGGCCCAGGGCGAACAACTGGATTCTAAAACACTCACATCTATGGCAAGAGTAAAAATCAGAGCAAAAAAAGAAAAACGTTCCACAAGACGATGGCCTGTGGGACCTTTACCAGCTGACCTTCCTTCAAGTGCTCTCTGCTCCACTTTGCCTGGATACTTGGTGCCTGGTTTCCATTTCCTCGTCCGCAAAGGGGACAGGACAGCAAAGCCGCCTGGACTGCCGGGAAGATGGCCGTCCTCCTGAGGACACGTAAGCCCTCTCGCTCCTCAAAGGCCCTCCTGGAACCCATAGGGCTCCTGTGCCCGAACCAGAGCCAGAGGGTAAGCTGGGCCAGGCCGGGCGCAGCCCCTGCCCACCTCTCCACTGCCCCTCCCCACTCGGACACCCCGACACCGGCCTGCCAAGCTCAGCCCCACCACGGGGTCTCAGCCACGCTCTACCTCAGCTCTGGACCCCTCCACTCCCCTACCACTTGAACTGGAGGTTTCGGTCCTCACCAACCCCACCACAGAGTTAGCCCCCCGCCCACTTTCTCCTATCACTTATCAGAACGTGATGGCTACCAGTATTTTTCATTACGCACACTATTTGTTCATTTGCTTCTTCGTTGCCTGTTATAACTAAAACACCGTCAGCTCCATGAGCAAAATGAGCCTGTTTTCCCAGGGGCCTTGACGGGGCCTGGCCCACGACAGGGCCTCCCTCGTCGGTAAAGGAAGACAATTGTGTCAGATGGAGGCCCCAGGAGGCCACGGTCGCTGCTCCAAGCCCCTGCGCCCCTTCCTTAGTTTTGACGAGTCCCCAGGCGTAAAGGGCTCTAATTCGGGTATTAAACGGAGGCACGGCACCAGTTAACTAGCAGGGTCCGCAGTTTACCACAGTTAACACTGACACTGCATTCTCTCTGGGCCAGACCCCGATCTCAGCAACTCGCACACCAGAACACACTCGTTCGCATCCCAGCTCCCCTACATGGGGGCGTGAAAGCAGAGACCTGCACAGAGAGTCCAAGCAAGTTTCCCAGGTCCACACAGCAGAGTCCAGATTCAGGTTCCAGCATCCCCACCTCAACCACCGCACGACCCAGTGGGGCCTCCGAGGTCAGGGGCGAACCTCGGGCTGCAGCACATCTTGTGAAAAGGAACAGCGGCTCCGGTACAGCCTCCAACCTGTGCTGGACACACTCGCACACATCCCTCCTTCCACACCAGCCTTGTGTCAGTCTCACCCCGCCCACCACAGCCCACCACAGCGGCCCTCCCACTGCCGAGCTGAGAGCTGCCAGTGTGCACCCAGGGTGGGGCCCCCAGGCCCGTGCGCTCACTGCTGCATCTTGTGCTTTGTCCCAGAGAAAAGGGGGGAGGCGGGGAGTGGAAGGAAGAGAAGACGCAGCCAGCGACAGCCACTCCCCTCGGAGGAGAAAGCCCCTGCACCCCCTTTTAAGACGAGGCTTGAGCATAATTGAAATGGCAATTCTTATAATCCCTAGGGAATGAAGATTATTTTGAAAAAGAAATTTTTCATTTTTTCACTTACCAACTTGCAATAACTTTTCCTCTTCAGAGGGAGGTGGTGGAGACCCCCTGGATGGAGCCCCCAGACTATTTCTGAGCAGGTACTCAGGACCCAGTCCTTGCTCTGATGGACAGTATTCCAGCAGCGTGGGGGAGGGGCAGGCGTGGAACTGGTGTGTAGCAACTGAGGCCACTCACCATGGGGCCAGACTGCCAGGGTTCAAATCTCAGCTCCGCTACTTAATAGTTACACAGAACCTTGGGTAAGTGGCTTCTATTCTCTGTGCCTCCATTTGCTCACCTGTAAAATGGGGGAGAACAGGAGTAAGTCACTCAAAGGAGCAGCACGTGGCTCAAATCCACAGCCTCCCTCAGAACAAGGTCAGAGGCTCGGGAAATGGCAGCTGTCCCTGTCATCGGTAATCCATCTCCCTCTGCAGCTTCCCAGCTCTCAGGGCTCGGTGCAGCGCTCTAATGATTCCCCAGCTCTCAGGGCTTGGTGCAGCGCTCTAATGATTTCCGCCCCCCACCCCCCTGCAGAAGAGCCTCCTCACTCATAAATCAAAGGGGTTGCAAGTCCTCTTCCAGTGCAAAGTTTCTAGCTGTGGGATGCACTCCGGACTGCCATGTGGGCAGGGCCCTCCCACACCCACAGGTCCCCCCTGAGTCACGCCCAGCCCCGGAAAAGAAAGTGCCAGCAGGAGGGGTCAGCTGTGCACAGCGCAGGACAGCGCCTGCCAGCACGAACCGGCGCAAACGCGCATGCTCAGGTTTGCAGCTCTTCGTGGAACCCCCCCAGGTGCTGTTTATCACACCCAGGCAAACATCTATCTCACCTGTGCCCAGAAAGCTGAGTGGTGACGCTGAGGACCCAGCTCTGCCAGGACGTCCCCTCCAACCACTTGAGTCCCACCCGCCCTGCACATTAAGGTGAAACACTTGTTAGTGGCTTTGCAAATGGGGGATGGAAACTAGTCAGAAGCAGGTGGGCGGGCACCTGCTGGACCCGTCTCGGCCCGCCAGCACAGACATCTCGCTGCCTCCCGAAGCAGCCCTGGGGTCCCCGCCCCTGCACCTGCCCCAAGCCAGGTTTACCTTCTGTCCCCAGGCAGGGGCAGCAACTGCTTCTCATCGGCCTCATTGTTCAACAGGATAATATGCTGGGTTTCGAAGCAACCAGGCCGGTGGTAATGAGGGTTTGATGGTGTCTGGGCAATTAGACAAACAGACACACTTTGATTTCAACCTAGGCTGAGGCTAATGACCTCAGGTGGGAATACGGCGGCACTGAGTTTTGAAAGGAGGAGAACAGGCTTCCTGGGAACCTCCAAGGAAAGGAATCACAGGGTGGGCTCCTCCCCACAGCTCTGCTGCTCTGGATGCCCAACCCATTGACCCCCAGACGTCAGTGGTGGGGGACTTCAAGCCAAAGGCCGACCATCCGAGAAGCCAGCTCAGAAGCCAGCTCGCTCTGGGTTGAATCTGCTCCGCAGCGGCTCCCGACGTCAGGTGCAGTGCGTCACTCACCTGGGAGCAGTCGGCTCTTTCCCTGTGCAGTGGAGACAGGGAAAGTCTACCGGGCAGGGAGGGCTGGCCTGAGTCCCCAGCACACGGTAAAGGTGCCACCAGGATTTGGGAGGGGGTTCTGAGAGCAGGGAGGCTGGGCGTGGAAGCCTAGAGAGGCGAGAACATGGAAGAAGCCGGGAGAGAACAGCGAGTCCTTTCCAGCCAGCACAGCGAGGCCGGCTTCTCCGAAGGTTCAGACAGCACTGGCTGTCCAGAGCACAGCTCAAAACAAAGGAAGGAGCGGGAGAAACCCCTGCTGGATGGGCACCTGGGAGAGCTGGGGTCACCGCAGGTCCCCGGTGTGGCCAGGCAGAGCAGCCTCACCTCCACTCAGAGCGGGGCAGGGATCTGCGAGGCCCGGGGTGCGGCAGGCGTCTGGAAACAGGGCAAATGGAGCAGGGTGTGGCGGCAGCAGATGGGTCCCCATAGGCTGTTCTCTTCAAGACCGGTGGTAGGGCAGAGAGGCAAAAGATGACCCCCGGGCCAGGCCCAGGGGACAGTGTTGGGGAGGGGTTTGTCCCCTCAACACACCTCTGCGAGGCCTGTGGTTGGACCAGGGTGCAGCGCTCACACTTGGGGCACAGAGATAAATAACATCCAGCCCCTCCTGGGCACATTGTCACAATATAAAGTGACAGGGCATTTAGGTGAAATTTGCAGGAGCACAGGGCAGCGAGATCGGCTCAGCCTAAACGCAGGGAGAGCCCCCTGCACAGTTTCAGGCTGGTCCTTGAAGGATGAATCTGTGTGCCTGGACCCTGGGGACCCAACATCAGGCTGGGGGTGGAGACAAACACCCCAACCTGCTATGTGCAGCCTGTGGGGGATCCAGGCCAACTCGTGACCCTTAATTCCTAGAAAAGAACTCTCTTGGCAACCGCAACTATGTGAAAGGGCCAATTAGTCTGCCTCGCAGTCCTCCACGGCCAGGCGGCTGCACCCACCTCTGCCCAGTGCTCGCCTGTCCTCACACTCCCCTGCCCCTCCGCTGCCTCTCCACCAACCTGGACACGCGGAGGGAAGTTGGATCAGGAGCCACCGGCACCAGGAGAGAAGTTGTGGAACCCAAGGCATGACCAGTCAGCACCGTGGACAGAGACACAGGCTCCTGGCCGGAGGGGGGGGGGCGGTTGCACTTCCGAGCTACCTGCAAGCAAGCACCTCCTCCCTCCCAGCCCATGTGGGCTTCTGCAAGTGGTCGTTTTTATCCACACACAAAGGGTGTTCAGAGGTGCTTTCTTGTCTTACATTTGCATCACTATTAGCAAACCAGGTGTCAAATTTTGCTGAAATCTTCTCAGACCTGCAGGACCATACCTGGAGATTTTCCCAGTTGCCATTTTGATCCGAATTAGCAGAAGCTCCACGGATGGAAGGGTGTTGTGTCCTCCTCTGTGAGTGTGCACATGGCAGGTGGAGCCCACCAGGACTCCGAGCTCGGGGCCAAAGGGAGCAGAAGGGCAGATTTTTAACCGACAGCAAAGGGTCGCCAGTCCCAGGCTGAGGCTGCCTGCAATCCCCCCGACCCCCTGTTACAGGACAGAAGCCCAAAGGGCCTTGCTCCAGCGGTCTGCCCTGACACTTGTCTGCCCCTGGGGAGCCACCTCTCCCACAGGAAGGCTGCGGTGGCTGCAGAGAAAGTCCTGAGCAAGGCCATGCCTCAGGTAATTCCACTGAAGAGTTCAAGTTCACTGCTGAAAACTCAGGGTCAGCCTGAGGACGTGAGAGGATGAGGTTGACACCCTGACTCACCAAATCAGTCTTGCCCGAGTCAGACACCTGGACCACACGTTCCTCTCAGGACAAACCAGCAGATCCCAGGGGAGCTCAGCACTCAGACGCATGTTTCTCCGGAAACCTCGGCCCCTGCTTGTGAGCAGGGCCTCCTTCAGGAACCCGAAGCCAGAAGTGACAGCCAGAAAAGCTGATGCTGTGCTGCAGGACTCCCCAGAAGTCGACCTCAGCTCAGACAGAGCTTGGGGGTGAGCGGGGGTAGGTTCCGAGCTGCTCAGCTGAGCCCCCCTGCCCCCCGAAACCCCTGCAGGACAGGGGTCATGGCCTCATGATGCAGCCGCTGGCCTAGGCGTCCAAGGCCCTGGCGCTCCCTGTCCTGCTCACCCACCATCACCCCAAGAGCCGCCCTGAGGGCAGACCCAGTGGGCTCACGAAAGCCGCCTGTCCCGCAGGGGTCAGGCAGACAGTGACACCTTCCTGACGCTGCACCCACACCCCCCAGCCCTCGGCCTCACTAGACAAGCAGCCCATCATGCTCTCAAGACTCTCCTCACTCACCTGCTTGACTTTAATTTGGGCACTTTGTGTCGCTTCCAGAAGTGCTGTTCCAACAGTATCGCCTGCTACGGACCAGGCTCTGCGCCAGGCGCTGGGGCTGTGCGGTGGGCACCCTGCAGTCACCCATCAAACGCCTCTATTCCGTCACCCGTCACCCAACAGACAGTGGCTTTGCAACATCCTCACTCCATGGCACAGCAGCACAGCCAATAGCAGCTGCCCTGCTTTAGCTAAACGAATGAGGACAACGAAGATGTCTCGAGAGTTCTCCAATGTACTGTGGGGGCGTCCGGCATTGCTAAGAACAGAAACAACTCTAAGTGCCCTCGCCATTCGGCCGGAGGTGTGAAACCAGAAGGGACAGAAAGGAGGGACCAAGGACCTACTTAGGTTCCAGTTCACGGACCAAAGGACCTCTTGACAATGACGAGACATCTAATCCATGAGGCTGCAAAGGGCTCTGGGAGTGGAGAAAAAGAAGAAATTCCTTTTAGCTGAGGTGGTCGGAGAGCCCCGCACAGTGGGGAGGGACCTAAGCTTGGAGACGGGTGATGCACTAAGGGGTTGTGGCACAGGGAGGGGGAGGGGACAGACGAGGGACGAGGACCAGTGGAGTGGGACCGACTGGCAGGTCTAGGGTCCACATTTCAGATGACGCTGGTTCCCTTCCAGCATGCCATTTCCCAGGCCCCTCCAGAATCGGGATCGACAAAGGATGGGCCCAGGAATATTTGTTCAACCAATTCTGACACAGGATTCAGATGCGGATGCAAACCAGACCTCCGGAGGGGCCCACATAAGGCATGCAGAGTGGGGTGACAGACAGGCTAAGCACAGACCAATACAGAACATTAACCAGAAGGCACATGGGAGCCATAGCAGGCTCTGGAGTGAAGGATGGCACCACCAGTGCTGTGAATTTGGGGAGAGGTAGCCTGCGGGAGGGGAGGAACTGACACAAGAACTCCTCCTGGGGAACTGTTGCCAGAGGCCAGGCATGAAGTAACAGCTGGACAGAGGCAGCAGCGGACGGAATGGAGAACAGTAGGAGGAATTGACAGACCTTGGCAACTGATTGGATGGGGCAGGGGGGTGGCAGGTAGGGGGTGAGTCAAAGATGACTTATTTCAGATGTCTCTGGTGTTTTTCATAGAAATATAATTATAAACACACAAGACCTTATAACTTCTAACACCCATCAGATCTGAGGAAATAGCCCCCACCTCCCCCACCCCCCCACTCAGCTCCCGGAGGTGCACAATGGCTCGAGACAATATTAACAATGATGTATCTTATAGTATCTGAACTTTGCCATCCGTGGGTACAGGCATTGAAAAGTCAATGTGAGTAAATTGACAAGCTTGTCAATGGATGAAATTAATTTTCTTTTTCTGCTGCATCACTAAACATAATTTCAGGACATCGGGGTAATAATATTCACTGTCCATTATCGTGACCATGAGAGAGAAGCAGAGCAAGGGAGCAGTCTCTCGGCGGAGGTAAAATACGGAAAGAAACAGTGGTGCCGTGGCATCTCCTGCACACGCGCCCGAGCAGGCATTTGTTCCGGTGGGCACACGGCCCTCCATAGTGCCTCTCAGAAGCTGTCACATTTGCAGCCGAGAGACCTCTGCCCCGTGAGCACAAGAAAATGGATTTCAACACGTTGCCCGGTTTTAACCTAAACAGTAGCATTCTCTAACAGAACAGATGGTCAGCTTAGGAGGAGGCATCAGAGATCAGAAGTCCAGTGTCCTTGTTTGAACAACAGGGAGAAAGAGGCTGGGGATGCCACCCGGCCAAGCCCACTGAGAGCCAAGGCCTCGGCTCTGGAATTTAGTTAAAGTCAGGTCAGCGGGCAGGGTGTGGTGGGGGCGGGGCCTTAGGGCCCCACAGACACAGTCCTGGAGGGTCTGGCCCTGCTTTGTGCAGAGAAAACAGAGACGCTGGGCCGGTCGAGAATGTGCAAGAAGGTGCTGGTCATTCATGGTCACTGGACAATCCAGCACTGCACACTGACCACAGCCAAACGCCACTGTGGGCCTTGGGGACACAGCAGAGGACGGAACGTGCAGAGCCTGAAGCCCAGTGGGAAAAGCCAAAGCCCACAGGGCACAAGAGAACAGGAAGTGCAGGCTGTGGTCGAGGCTCTGCAGGAGACAGACAGGTGGTGACGGGAAGCAGCTGGGGCGGCAGCTCCTGAAGGTGGGACCCGTTCCCGGTCCACTGAGACACCGTTTCCAAATCAAGGGAGAATGCAGAGGAACCACTGCCCAGAGGGTGCTCCTGGAGTGCCCCGGCTGACCGTGAGCTTATGTGGACCTCATACAGCCCGACGGAGTAGGTCCTGCTGTCCCCACTGTGCTCCAAGGGGGACTGTGACTGTCCAGGCAGGTCCAGGGCCCACACCCAGCCTGCCCTAAGCTTCTGACCTTCGCCTGGCCTCGCTCAGCCAGTTTTGCTGCTGAGTTCACACCTCTGTGGGTTGTGCTTCCTGCCCCCGACTTCCCGGAGTGCAAGCTTGCTGAAGTGCCTCGTGGCGCCGTCTCTCACAAGCCTGCTTCGAACATAG